GACACGTGCTCTTTCCTAAGAATCTAAATTGTTATAGTGCATCCATTACAGCTTCCTAAGCCCTTTCAGAGCTGCCTTGATTCTTAGCCATTTCCAAATGTGTTTCTCCAGATTTCTGATTAAGCTTATAAACTCCTAACATTCTTTCAATAAATTTCCTTTTGCTTAAGCTATTTCAAGTTGGTTTCTTTTCTGGTTTTTGGGGGATAGCTGGCTTATCGGTATCCAAACTCTTGACCTTGGTGTTACAAGACTGCACTCTAACCTACTGAGCCAACCCCAAAAGTTGGTTTCAACAGCTTTTGAATGGTATACTTTCTAATTTCCTAGTATCGAAAGGCATTTTACAATAGTATAGTATTTACAAAAGCTCAAAATTGCCCAACTAGCTGCATTTGGAGTAGCTGCTTCCTCTTACTTCCCAAAGCCAGCTGAGAGTAAGAACCTTAATTTCCAGAGGGGGATGGGGACAACTATGGGTACTGTGGAGATAGCAATGGTTGTTACAGGTGTTCCTGGCCACCCAGAAAAAAGGAGACAAAAGGTATAATTTCCAATGATATCTCTAATTTAAGAAACACACCCAATTTTACAATGAACCAGTAGGAAGATGCTGCATTTAAAGACTTAAGAATTTAGGAAAACAATTCGTTTAGCCATAATAAACCCACTGTTAGCAGGAAGAATGACTTTACTAAACAATTCAGACTGCTATAATTCCTAAGTACAAATAAGAAACTATGAATCCTTGTTAGACTTAGTTGACAAAACAATTTGAGATTCCTGACTTGGTATAAAATTTTGTTGCTAACAGTGAGGAGCTTCCATGTTCCCCTAGTCCTGTCATTTCTTTACCTTCTTAAATTATCTACAAAAAAATCTTCAAAAGGTATGCCTGGGGTCTGGAAGCAGCAATAGCTGCCATCTCTCTATCAAAATCCCAAAGTTAGTATGTAGTTTCACAATGCTAAGCAGAGAAATTATTAGGTTCTTAGGCCCTCCAAGGAAGTCTGTGTTCCTGTAAAGCTACTGGGCATAACACGCAGACCTAGAAATAAAGTCACAGATGGCTACACCAAAGAAAGATGTGTGAGAACAATCTGTAGTATATCTGGTACCAGCCTGTCAGCATAAAACTTCCTTTGAGAACATGTAATTTTAAATGCCTCATTCTGCAATAATCTTATATCCAAAGTGCAACTAAATTCCACCTCTCAAAAAGATTCAAATGCAGAAGACTCACCCATCTCATCAAGAAGGTTTTAACATTTGGGGGGAAATGCCTGGATAAAATTGTAAAACCAAGCACTACAGAAGACAATAGAAACATTTAGGAAGGGGAAAAAAAAACAAGTAAAGAGAAGTAAGAATGGAAAGAATAGCAGAGGGCAGCTCAACAACACAAGGTTGAATTTTTCTAGGGGACTTGTAAATTTCTTTTTGTTATAAAATCCTAATATTTATAATGTTACTCTGAATGACTCTAGAAACACATTATTTTGTACTTTCCATGGATTCTCTGGACAAATTAAGAAAGGAAAAAAAAGGCAATACGAATGGTGGTCTTAGATATCTAAAACAATACTTAATATTGTTTTACAAGTACAATACAATACTTTGCTATTTCAAAATATTTTGTTTATACAATACATTTGACTCTCACAATAAAATCTCTGTGAGGGAGACTACTTATTTCTATTTTGCAGAAAAAGCTAGATGTCACAATGGTTAAGTGGCTAGGGAGTTTACTGCCTAACTGCTATATGCTAACAGTGAGAGTGCAAGTAACAAAGTCAATTTTAAATTTTAATACAAGGGTCAGCCCATGGCTCACTTGGGAGAGTGTGGTGCTGATAATGCCAAGGCCGCGGGTTCAGACCCCTATGTAGGGATGGCCAATTAGCTCACTTGACGGAGCGTGGTGGTGACAACACCAAGTCAAGGGTTAAGATCCCCCTACTGGTCATCTTAAAAATAAAAAAATATTTAATACAGGTAAAAAATAGGAGTCAACACGTGTCCATTAAGAATTAGGTCTGGGCCGACCCCGTGGCGCACTCGGGAGAGTGCAGCGCTGGGAGCGCAGCAACGCTCCCGCCGCGAGTTCGGATCCTATATGGGAATGGCCGGTGCGCTCACTGGCTGAGCGTGGTGTGGGCGACACCACACCAAGGGTTGCGATCCCCTTACTGGTCATGAAAAAGACAAAAAAAAAAAAGAATTAGGTCTGCTAAATTAACCAATTTCCTTTTTTGATAAAACTATTATAATGAAATAACCCATAATTATTGTGCAGTTATCACATATTAGTCACTGCAGTAAGCATATGAATTATTTCACTTAATCTTCACAACAACCCTATGGTATACACTATTACCCTGATTTTATAGGTCAAGAAACTGATGCTGAGAGAGATAACCCAAATAATCAACTTAGGAAAGAGGGAAGTTGAAATTCAACCTGGATGACTCCCTATACCAAGTTTGCCTGTAGACATAGCTTACCTTAATTTCCTCAAAGCATTCTAAATATGCACAGGCACTGTGTTATGTACTGAAGGTAAAAGTTGAATGATGCAGTCTCTACAGTGTAAGAGCTCTCATAAAACTTTTCATTTAGTGCCGGCCCGTGGCTCACTCGGGAGAGTGTGGAGCTGATAACACCATGGCCATGGGTTCGGATCCCTATATAGGGATGGCCGGTTGGCTCACTGGCTGAGCGTGGTACTGACAACACCAAGCCAAGGGTTAAGATCCCTTCACTGGTCATCTTTTAAAAAATAAATAAATAAATAATAAATAAAACTTTTCATTTGAGGGCTGGCTGGTTAACTCAGTTGGTTAGAGCACGGTGCTAATAACACCAAGGTCCAGGGTTCAATCCCTGTATCAGCCAGCCACCAAAAACAACCAACAAAAGACTTTTCATTTGTGTAGACAAAATGAATTAACATGAACTACATCATAGTCTATATTCCTAGGCATTTCTAATATCTACACCCAAATGCCTATCTGATGATGCATAGCCTTGTCTTGATACTTACTCCAGCCAAAACAAACTATCACCTCTGGGCAATCACTACCCCAGTATTCTCTGTTTAAAACATGGATCACTTCTTCCAGGTTGTCCCATCTTCCCCTAATGGGTTCGTACACTAGAAAGGTACTCATCATATTATACTGAAATTACTTGTACAATTAGCTTTCCTTTCCACCAGAGTATAGGACAGGAACCTCATCTGTCTTGTTCATCACAGAATTCCCAGTGTCACTTTCTAGGTCACTCTATACGTTTGCTCAATGAAAAAGGACTCAGTGATGTCACAAGGTTTGTCCTTAGCACAGCTTGGATTCAATCGTTTCATCAACTTAAACATGTGCCTGCTGTCTTCATTCATCAATTTGGGGTTGGCCGGTTAGCTCAGCTCGTTTAAGTGCAGTGTTACAACACCAAGGTCAAGTGTTTGAATCCCTGCACCAGCCAGCCATCCCCACCCTCCCATCCCCCAAAAAGGCAAAGACATTGTCAATTTGGGTATATATAGGTACACGCATATGTATGTGTGTGTGTACATATATGCATATGTTTTCTTACTTTTTCCGCTGAAAGGACCAAGTAGCAAAGTGCCTGGATCTTGGTCCCTAATATTACCCCCCACTTAAAGGAATCTGGATTCCTTGGATTCCGAGGCTGGGCAGGGTAGGTATAAGATAAGCCTGGCATCATGTTATGTCAAAAGGAAGGAAGTGCTCAAGAAAAATGAAGGAGGCACATCACAAAAACACAGGAACCAGACTGAAGGAGCTGACACTGGCCAAATCTGGGACAATCTGAGAACAAAAACATCATTAAAGAAGAAAAAAAAAAGGAATCCATACTAACAATAGATAAGTAAAGAGGGGATAAGGGAAGGCTTTTCTTTATAGGGGCCAAATGTGGAGGGAGAGCTAGAGTTGAAAACTCATCATAACCCATCAGAGTAAAGATGACATAAAGCAAGAATCATCAATGAATGCTAAAACTAAAGGAAAATTTTGATGAATAGGATATTTGCATGGTCTTAAAATACTCCCCAGATTGCTTATTAGTTTCAAGGGGGAGTGAGAGGGGCAGTAAAAAAATCAGAGAACACCTTGACAGGGTAATTAAAAATTAACATCACCAATGAGGACTAGATGGACACTATGTACATCTTCAAATGTGATACCTTGAGAAGGCCATAAGATGACATTTGCAGTGTTCTGACTGAGAAAGTGTAACTTTAATCTAATTCACATGGAAATATCAGACAAACCCTAAATGAGAAATGTTCTATCAAAAAAAAAAAGGGAGAGGGCATATTTTTAATACGTCAATATCATAAAAAGACAAAGAAAAAATTGGGGAAATGCTCACCATTAAAAGCAGTTGAAGAGACATAACAACTACATGTGATACCTGATCCTAGACTGGATCCCACGCAAGAAGGGAAAAAATGCTATAAAGAACATTTTTGGGGCCGGCCCGTGGCTCACTCGGTAGAGTGTGGTGCTAATAACACCAAGGCCCCGGGTTCGGATCCCACATAGGGATGGCCGGTTCGCTCACTGGCTGAGCGTGGTGCTGACAACACCAAAGTCAAGGGTTAAGATCCCCTTACCGGTTATCTTTAAAAAAAAAAAGAACATTTTTGGATCAATTAATGATTAGAAAACAAATGACAGATGAAACAGAAACATTGTATCAATGTTAAACTGATTGAAGATAAACTTTACTATGATTATAAAAGAGAATATCCCTATTCTCAGGAGAATATCCCTATTCTCAGCAAATACGCACTGAAATATTTAGAGGTAAAGCGGCATGATTTTGTAACTTACCCTTAAGTTCAGAAAAATAGTGTGTGTGTAAATACATAAGAGAGAAATACTGATTCGTTACATTACCGCCACACATCTAAAAGGAAAGTATATAATGCTTGACATATAACCTTATGAATGTGATAAAAAGGGTAAACATACCTGAATAGGAGAAGGCTTTTCCCACCCCATTTCAAAAATTCCCATCAATAACTCCCGTTTCAAACAGTAATCTTCAAACTCATTTCCTTTTGTGGAGGTCACATCCTAGTCAAACAAACAAAACAAACAACAATAATAAAGTACAACTGTGTCCTTTGGTATTAGCATCCTTAAGAAAATTTGTCTGGGAGACCCTAATTCTTCATTTACCCATTCTTAAATAGAAACATATGCAGGGGTAGCCACTTAGTTCAGTTCGAGCACGGTGTTATAACACCAAAGTCAGGGGTTCAAATTCTGTACTGGCCAGCCGCAAAAAAATAATAATAAAATAAACAACAAACAGATTACTTTTAATTTATATTTCAACCTTTCCTGGAGAATAATCATGCTTCCTTCAACACAAACAAGCCATTTAAAAGCTGTGTGTTGGGGAAAGGCTACTCTGTGGTCATAGTCTTCTAACGACTGGTGGAATACTATTATTTCTATGCAAGTATCCTACTATGAATTGCATATCACAAGATGTAAAGTCAAACCCTAGCTCCACCACTCATGAGCTACAAATACCCATGGTTCAGTGAGGGTTTCTCAAGCTCAGCAGTGTTGACGTTTTAGACAAGAGAATTCTCTGTTGTAAGGAACTGTCCTATAGCAAACTCCTCCCCGCCCAAATAATCAAAAATGTCTCTAGCTATTGCTAAATGTCCCTTGGTGGACAAAATCTCCCCTGGTTGAGAATACTGGGCTAAGAAAAATAACTTCTCTGAATTCCCGTTTTCTCATCCACAAAACGGGGATAATACCTAGCATGAATATCTTACTGGGAGCAAAAGAAAAATTTGAGAAAACACCTTGAATACCCTAACAGCATTCCATAAATTAGATAACATGTGGATGTATATAAACACATTATTTAAACATATACATGCTGATTATATTATTATATAATTCCAAAGAATGGTGAAAAATTTTGGCAATCCAATATATATGACCGATACAATTTCAACCACTTCAACTCAAGCATAAACAATGTCTACTGTTACAACTACTTCACTTCTAGAGTTTCCTCACTTTAATTTTATAACCAACTTACCGAAGTTTTGATTCTTAGATCCTTTGGAGGGAGTTTTAAAGTCTTTTTCCAGTCATCACCAGGTCTAGAGAGAATACAGTAAATTTGAAGTATCAAAATCCATAACATTCTACCTAATAATGCAAAGATGACTCATCTCAATTGTAATTAAGTTCTAAAAAACCACAGTAAGTTTAATATATCGCCATTTACTTAATACAGTTACAAGAGAGTTAACTTTAGAAAAAGTGTTCTTACGAAGAATAATCTAGGGAGGAACAAAAATCAAGGGCCGGCCCATGGCTCACTCAGGAGTGTGTGGTGCTGATAACACCAAGGCTGCGGGTTTGGATCCCATATAGGGATGGCCGGTTGGCTCACTGGGTGAGCGTGGTACTGACAACACCAAGTCAAGGGTTAAGATCCCCTTACTGGTCATCTTAAAAAAAAAAATCAAGAACCGAAGGGATGAAGGCATCCAACTTTTTAAGAGAAGCAGTGTAGTATATATTCTGTTAAAACATGTTTTATTTGACCTACACTGTGTATGTGTGTGTTTTAATTTATATTAGTTGCCAATATTTAAAAAAATCAGGAGATTTTACATAAAAGTTTAGATTCTGGCTTTTCTTGGAAAACTGGAAGCTTTAACAACACTGTTCCAAATTTCTGTATGGCAACAGTTTGATAGCTTAGTAAGTAGAGTTTAAAGTCAAGCTGCTGCTCCCTTTAAACAGAGCACGCGTCCTCTAATTTGGTACAGTCCTCTGTAGGCATCTGAGTTTGTACCTTCTGGTGGCAAGTTAAAACCAAAGACTCTGAAATTTCAGGCTTGAGTTCAAGTCCTGACTCTACTACTTATTAGATCTGTGACTTCGCACTAGTCATTTTTTAAACCTCTACTCTCTCATATATAAAATGAAGTATTAACAAGTATATCAATTTATGTAAAGCACTCAGCATAGTAGCTGGAAAGATAAGAACTCAGTATAGCTGTTAATTTCTCTTAATCTATTTTACTGGAGATGCTTGAAACCATGAAAGAGAATTTAAAAAAGGAAAACATAAACAACCAAATTTCTTTTTATTCAGGTAAAAAACCTCAAATAAAACAAATTAAAAAAAGATCGTCAGGAAACATCTGCAGACGATGCTTTCAACTGTGTCATCTTTAAAATAAAACTTTTCACTGATTTCATTGTAGTTATTCTTACATATGAGCCCCAAAGCATCTCAAAGGCTTGAGTTAGAAAAATAAGCACTTATTTTAAAGCTAGTGCCCACATGAGGCAAATAATCTAACACCAGAACTCTTTGTTACCAATTCCAAGGCTACTGAAGTCTTTCATTTCAGCCTATACCATTCAAAGTTTCTGAGCAAAAACGTCAGTTCAACATCCTAGTAGGCCAGCTTGCCATAACTGTCAAATTCAAGAAATAGTGAATAATGGTTAAGATACAATGCAAAACCTGCCCAGAAGGAATTTATAATCTTATGAAGTAAAAAACAAACTATTTAAAATGAGAAAATAAGTGAGAGATAAGTATTAGAAGGGTTATGAAGACAGTTGAGGGGATCTAGAAGACCTCATGGAAGAGATGGCACATAAACTGAGATTTGAATAAGTGACAGAATTGAAAAACCATTAATCCTAGGAAAAGCAAAAAAGAAAAAGCAAAACCCACTGTTGTCTCAAACCAGAATTTTTTAAATAAAAAATTCTCTTATAAAGAAGTAACATATGTTTCTATCCTTAAAAATAGCCTAAATTTTGCTAGCCTATTCATATTTTGTCAAGACAAACTATAATTTAGAAAATAGTCCTTATTTCTGTACCAATTAAAGCATTCACCTTAAAAATAATAGAATATTCACTAATGCCAATTCTCTCACTGATCAAACCAATTCTACTGGGAATTCATATACTCTTAGGTCACTAGTGAACCACTATTCTAGTGAGCTACCATTTTAGTAGCCTGTAAGGGCTATTTTTCTCTAGGAAATGAAAAGATCTAGGTTGTAATAAAACATACACTTTAGTTCAGCCAAGTATCACCATCTTATGAAGATCTGTAGAGGTTAAATTATTTTACATGGGTAGATGCTTAGCAAAAGCCAAACCTCAATTGGGTCAAGAATCTTGAATGTTAATTTCCTATAGGTGAATCTTCAGAGTGACAGTTACCATTCAAATAATTTAAAGTAGGCACTTAAAGATGACAGCCTACAAACTTCCAGCTTTCAATGAAAAAATATTCTGTAGTAAGATGAGGTTCTCAAATTTTAGAGTCAAAGGGGTTTGGGACTATACAGAAATGTGTTCCCAAGAGTTTAAAAACCTGAATTCCCCATGATTTATTTTGTGTGTCTAAAAGGAGGAAAATGCCATTTAAAAAAAAAAAAAAAAAAGTAGAAAAGCAAAGTTCCATAAGCAAAAAAAAATAAAGGATGTTTCCTACAAGTGAAAACACTTGCAGTTCAGAAGGGTAGGTAAGTCTTTAAATTTAAAACTTGAACTTGGCTTTAACTGCCATTTAAAACTAGGGTAAGCTGCAATTACAACACTAGAAAAAATACAACATTGACAAAAACCAAGATGAATTTGATCATTTCATTCATTTATAACAAACTCAGCTAGTAACTCCTATACTGAGCCACATATGGAAACCAGAAATGTTTCAAAAAATAATCTAACAAAATTAATATACATAATCATCTGTTCCTATGATTACTTGCTGAATTAATTATGGCAGAAATACACTATTCTATTGCAAATACATGCTAGTCATAAAACAAAGTCATCTGTCCTCTATTTGCAATCAAAATAGTCAAATTAAGGAAGTAGTTAACAAAGTAACAAAAAGAAATCTTGGTTCCCCAACTGTGTTTATTATTTATTCTAACACTTACTTAATAGTGGTGGTCATACTCTGTGCTTGCTGCTGAGTGCCATTATTCATTGTGTTGGTGTTTTTCAGCTGGTTCATCTGTTGCTGTGTCTGTGTGCCCCCTCCTCCAGGGCCACCACTGGGCTTCACAGGGCCCCTCAGCTGACCATTTTGACTGGATAGACCCATTATAACAGGGTTCTCTGTTCTGGCCGTGCTCATGCTGTGTTAATTGCAAAGGTGTCTTCCAAACTTCAAAACTTTTTAAAGTCAGTAGAGAAACTGTAATAACAGTTTATTAGGCTCTCCAAAACGAAGAGATAAATATAAGTCTTGCTCAATATATGAGTCCTTTATTGCAATGCAGGCAAGCACCTGTAAGTCTCTGAACGGTAAGCAGCAGTAATTTGCTCTCGTGCACCGAATCAACTTTTTATTTTTAAAAAGCCCTCTAACAAGCTTGAATTGTATCTGAATTCACTTACTTCAATCTGAAAGAAAGAAAAAATTAAATTAGCAAACACAAGAAAGTTAGGATAAAATGTGTTTTCCTTTCAGAGAACTCCTTTAAAAGGCTCATCTTTTAAAGAAGTCAGAATACAGATACACTTAAACCAAATCATTAGCCAAGCTAGGGAAGACACAACTACGAACTGCCTCAAAAACCAAACCTAGAGTGAGATCAATCTCAACAAACATTTAAAATTGTAAGGTTAAAGCAACCCAGAGAAGATCAGGTAGAAATTTACTATGATTAAATTAGCATTAGTTGTCAAATGACAATCTCTTCCCTTCAGTTTCCTCCCTGATTTCTCTAAAAGTCAATGACTCATTATACTTACTTGCTTTACAACTCAGTGAAGTATCACACAATTTATTTAATGAAAATCTAGATTCAAACAAGGCAAGACAATTCAAACTTTTTTTTCTATTTCTGATAGCAACCGAGAGTCCTTGAATAGTTAAGTGAGCTTTGACTTAACTTTATGCTTTCAGGAAAACAAACAAACAAAGAAAAACCCACTTTTGTGCCCTTATGAATTTCAACTACAGAAGTTAAACTTTATGAAGAAAAAATGTATTTCTTTTTTCTCTTGATTTTGTGCTTTAAAACTATAAAAGAAGCAGTCAAGGGATATGGACATGTCTATATGTCAAAATCTTTTGCTTGAAAACAGCGGAGAAAATCTTTGCTACCTTAATAAATGAATACTAAAAAACTGTTATTTTTAAATACAACACTTTTCAAAAAGCTTAAAATAGCATTATTTTAAACCCAATTTAAGATAGCATTATTCAAAAAATAAAAACAAAAAAGGAAATTTCCTGGGGGTATGATCTGTAAAAAGGTAAGCACACTAGTGACTTTAATAAAACCCAGAATACGGGGCCGGCCCGTGGCTCAAGCGGGAGAGTGTGGTGTTGTTGATAACACCAAGCCCACGGGTTCGGATCCCATATAGGGATGGCCGGTTAGCTCACTGGGTGAGCGTGGTGCTGACAACACCAAGTCAAGAGTTAAGATCCCCTTACCGGTCATCTTTTTAAAAAATAAATAAATAAAAATAAAACCCAGAATACTATTAAATCTAATTAATAGTTGTTTTTAAGAAGAACTGGTCAACCTCCATTTTTAAACTGTTCCCCATATCGAATTCCTATTTCAAAATTTACTAAACACAAAATTTACAAATACCAGAAAACAAAGCTCTACTATTTTGGCTTTTTATTTTTTTAACTCCCTTTTATTTCTTACTAAAAATACACTACCTTATTTATCAGTGCCGGTTGTCTTTGCCACATCCCAAGGCATCTCAAACTCAAAATTTAACTCAAATGGCATCTCAAAATTAGAAAAAGCTCCTTGATTACGTCTTCCCTTTTTAAAAAATCTGAACATCAAACTGCTCACAAGCAAATCCTGATCATCACAATACACCAAACTTTTATTTCGAAGTCTCCCTGAATCTGACTGGCCTCTTTAGCAAACGTGGTTAACAGCTACTTTCCTATATAGACAGGTTTTTATAATGATCAAAGACGTCAAGTAGTTCACACAAGGAGACTTATCTGTGCGCATAGCACTAAGAGGACGAATAGGACAACCTCTAAAAACTAAACGATTTCATTACTGTCCATTATGCACAAAAACACCTTCTATTTCCCTAAATCCAAAATGAAACTATGAGATAACTGCTCCCTTCTTAAACTGAAACCTACACTGCAGCTTTAGGTCTCAAAGAAGGAAACATTCCTCCTACCCCTTCCCAATTTAGATTTGCAAGTTGTATTTCTACATTAAAAAAAAAAGAAAGAAAGAAAGAAAGGAACGTAGACTAGTTGGGAGGAGCCCCCGGAGAAATTAATTACTGCACTACCCAGATCGTAGTTCGCAATGGACAGTTTCACACCCTAAACAGTACCGTCATCTCCAACAAGAGCTTTTGTTTGCAAATGCAGCGCAGTTTCTTCAAGCTTTAGCTGCAAGTTGGAATGACTGGGTCTTATTCTGAAGGGAAAAGGGGACTAAAGAAGAGAAAAGGGAGTGAAGAAGAGGGAAAGAGACAAACTAATGACTGGAGCCCCGTCAACTGGAGGGCAATAATTTCTTGCCCCTCCTCCCCCCAAACACACACTTCAAGTCAGTTCTCTCTGACCAAAAACACAAAAGGGTTGGGGCCCGGCAATCCTATCTGCGCAACAAGAGCCGGGAACCAGCTCCACCGGTAGGAAACAAAAGGGACCCCCTCAACCCAGAACGCCCCTCCTTTCCTTCACTACTTAGGGGCTCTATAAACACCCTCTGGTTGTCGACCAACAAGGCCCACTGCAATAAAGCAGCTGCCGGTCCTCTTCGAAAGCGAGCTCCCCCAATACAGCATATTCCTACCATCCCCTATAGGGCCGCCTCCTACCCTACAACCTCCATCATCATCCCCTTAAGCCACCCCCCTTGGGCCCCATATTCCCCGATCTCCTATAAAGCTCCTCCGAGTACTTGGCCCGCTCCTCCTCCCGACCCCGCCACGCACCACATTCCTATATTCGACTCCTCTTGGGCGCCCCACACAGCTGCCGTCCGCTTTCCTCCCCCGGCCCGATCGGGCCTTAGGCCTCCGCCCCAGGGCGCCCCCCCACGCCG